AGGGGGCCGGTGGCCAGGACCCCGACTGGCAGGGGGGTCGGCCAATGGAACCCCTAGCCGGCAGCAGAGTGCCACTGAAAATCAGCTCAAGCGCCGCCTTTGGCACGTGTGCCATAGGTTGCTGACCCCTGCCTTAAAACAGTTGAATTGAAATGAAAAACAAAGTTTTGAGTCCCCCAAAATTGTTTCAGTTGATTCAAAATGATTTTTTGTTTTAGTTTTTTGATTTGACAATTTTTTTAAAATTGGTTTGAATTGAACCATATTTTTCCCCTCTAGATTTTTCAGCTTGGCCCCCAATCCAAAAAGTCCATGATTCATCCAGCTCTCATCAGAAGGGACTTCCTGTGTTAACTGAATGATATACAAGAGAGTAGGGGGTGGTTAGAGATCCTGCTGTGGGTTGACAGTTGTTGTTGTTTCATGCTGTAGATGCATGAATGGAGCCTGATTCTGATTTACATTGGGGCTGCTTTATTGTCCTGGCAGTGAAAAGGAGCCTTATAGTGTCTGTAATTCATATTTACATGCACTTTCAGACTCCCTTCCACTGCCAGATGGCTATAAAGTGGCTTCAGTAGAAAGAAGAATGAGGCCTCTGCAATGGGGTTTACAAACCCCATCCTGAACACAGAGAGATGGGGGAAGAGAGTCTTTCCTGTTTACGAGCAAGCAGCTTGATCACACCCCCATGCAGCTGCCAGAGCTGCCAAGCATGGAGGCAGGCACCCACAGCTGCAACCAATAGCAAAAACAAGACCTGCTATAAAGGGGAGAGCACAGGGAAGGAAAGGGGAAGTAGAAAGGTCTAAGATAGTATAGGGGTAATAGCTCTGCTTCAAGCTGCTGCTGAGAAAAATAGCCAGAGACTGCAAGCCCTAAAATTGAAGGGCTGATAGACTCAGTTGGAGGTGAGGATCCAGTAACTGATCTGAGTGAGAAAAAACTAAGGAGGGTCAGTTAGGAGAAACTGAGATCCCTAGAAAGACCACACCAAGAAGCAGTAACACCTCCCAGCACCAAATTACGCCCCGCCCCCCCATATACACACACCTCAGAGTACAAAATGCAATGGAACAGGTGCAGTTCTCTCCAACAAGGGTGGGGGTGGATATTGGTGGGCTGTGTGTGATTGCACACCCTCAGCACAGGGCTCAGCTCTTTTGAGGAGGGGGTCTCCTTTTTGTGGCATGGGCAGGAACTGGTACTGTAAGGATCTTCATTCTTCAGCCACCATGGGGTGGGGAGCTACATAAGCTCCTATGGAGCCCAGTGCAGTCACTGTGTAGGAGTAGGTTATGTGGAGCGGCTGCCCTGCTGGAGACAGACAGTTTCTCTGCCCTGCATCTTGTGCATCAGCCCAGCCCCGATGAAGCTACGCAGATTGCGGAGTGCTGGATTTTTGCCCAAGAAAATATTAACGGGTGAAAATTTTGACACATTAACATATATACATTTATTATAAATTAATATATGTTAAACTATGGATTCTATTCTCCGCTCCTGAGGGGAAAATAAATGAAAGGGGGAAATTGCTTCTAAAACTCACTAGGCCATTTCTAATCTCACATCAGTGTAACTCATTGACTTCAATGGAGTTACTCCAGATTTATGTGATATAAATCAGAACAGAATCAAGCACTTTGACCAGGGCCCCACAAAATAAATTTTACCAATAGGAGTTGCCAAAATAGGCTGCCACTCAGAGTTGACTATGCAAATGTTCAAAATAGAGCTGGTAGAAACTTGGAATTTGTGCTTCATGGGAAATGTCAACAAAAGTTGTCTTTGTTCCAGAATGGAATGAAAAGAAATATCTTTTAAAGTTTTCTGCAATATGGAATTTACAAAAAAATTCAGCTTTGAAAAAATTTGTTTAGAAAATTTTGAATTTTCAGTATTTCATTTAGAACTTTATTTTAGTTTTACTTCATTTCATTTTTTATCTTATTATTATTATTATTTATTATTTCATGACATAGCGGTAACATTAGTAGTGCATAATATGTTAAAGTGTCAGACTCTTTTATTACAAAACAAACAGGAGACACTTTGATCCAGGAAAAAGATAAGATGTTTCACTCAGTATTAAGTAGCAGCTGCCCTTAATGACTTAAAAATAAAAACAGAATATTTAACTATTTATTATGTCATATTATAAGATTGGTACTGTATAATATGCCTACTGATATGTCATGAAGTAATGTACAAATAATAAAAATGGAAACCCCCCTATATAATACCCAAAATGAAATTGTGAAGTTTTTCTCAACACTAACTTTCCAAAATGAAGTTTTTTTGTTTTGAATTTTTTTCTCTGCAGGAATTTTCACTGAAGTTATAATTTTACAAAAAAATAATTAATTGAAACAGGTTTTTCTGACAAGCTTTTTGTGACCATTGATCTGCTCTAGTTTAACATAGAATTTGGCATACCACTTGGTTCCCCCTTGGTGGGGGCTTCAGCATGTCCATTGGTTCAGTTAGGCTCTCTGGGCAGGACCCCTTCTTGATTGGGGGAGGAGGAGGGAATAAGAGGTGCTATCTCTCAGACACCATCCATTTATGGCACCCAAGTCAGATGTCAGTCCAGTAAATTGTGCAGACCTGTGATTCCCCTTTCTCACAGGAAGAATGAAATGGTTAACCATGTTGACACTTAAATAATCATCACTGTAACTCTGAATTAACCCCTCTCTGAGATGAACAGGACAGTTCACACCCCTCACGGCTATTATTCCATGCTCTGTATAGACTCATTTCTTTGCAATGATAACACTTAAGGACTTATTTATGTTTAAAATAAAAGCTGAGATTCTGGAGAATAAGTAGTTTCAGAGAAGTGGTGGTATGGCATTAGGGAATTAACTGGCTATTTCCAAGCCCTGCTTTTGACTCCCCTCTGTGCTGTGCAATGGAGGAGAGTCAGGGCTCTATATTATTAATTCTGTCAAGTGTTTGTGTTATACTTGTATGAAGAACAATATGCCAAGCAATTATTCATCTGGTCCCTTCACTGGTTCCTGAATTGCATTTGCATTTTTAAAGTTAATTTTGAGGAACTGCTTTCATTTTTCTGGCTCATAGGGCTAATAACAATAATACAGTGCAATGAAGCAGTCCTAAAACTACCAAGCAGAACCATCAGTCTTTGGATCTAAAACTGCACAAGTCTAACTTATTCAATACATTGGACGTAATGCTGATCTCATACACACAGGTGTAAATCAGGAGTAAACCCACTAAAGTCAATGGTGTTATATTGGTGTAAGTGAGATTGTAATCGGGCCTGTTGTTTTCAAGAGAGCATTAGTTAGTGAAAAAGAGGAAGGCTTTGTCTAGAGGAGGGTTTTGAAGCCCAACTCTCTCTGGGGATTCAAAGAAAACTTTCCTGAAAATGTTCAGTAGCTGTGTACAGCAGGGTTTCTTGCATCTTCCTCTGAAGCATCTGGTACTGTTCATGGTTAGAGACATGAAACTGAACTGGATAGCCCACTGAACTGATGCCGTGTGGCAACTGCTATGTCAAATATTAACACATTCGAAAATGTATCCTGTACGATTTAATTCTGTACCCTTGGAAAGAGTGAAATACTGACATTTTCTTATAGGATGTAAATGGATGAAATTCCATTGAGGTCAATGGAGCTCTGACCATTTACACCGGCAGCAAATTTGGCCCTTTAACTTTAACATACATTTTTGCATCCTTGTTACCAAAATGTTGACTGGTGATTGTCCTATTGTTAGTCCATGGCTTTTTTAAAATTACAAACTTATATGTACTTTAGGAATGATTGATAAATTCTTACTAGAATTCTTAACTTCTAACAGTTAAGAAATTAAAATAGTTTTTGCAGTTCTATGGGGCCTTGCATCAGAGAACTTAAAAATGCTTTACAAATAATTATTACATCCCTTCCACACCTCTGTGGAATAGCTATTCCTACTTTACGATGGTGAATGGGAGCTGTAGGGTGCTCATTTTCAAGTGGAGAAACTGAGGCACATACATCTTGCTCAAGGTCTTAAAGGCCAAGATGTTTAAAATGGGGGCCAACAGCTGGGCTCTTAAATCCCTATTTAGGCACCTAAATAATTGCTTTTTTTAATGTTATGCACTCAGCAGGTCTCATTCATCTCAGTAGGAGCTGCGTGGTGCTCAGCTCTTTTGAAAATCAGGACACTTATTTAGACCTTAAGAGCATGAATTTGGGCACTCATTTTAAAAAAAATCTTGGCCAGAAAGAAGTAGTACTGTTCCAACCTTGCCTCACACACCAGCACAGCCAATTTCCCCCTTTCACAGCACTGTAGAACCCTCACTCCTTTTCACAGTGCTGAAAGCCAGCGGGATGAATTCCAAATACTGCCCTTACTTTTTAGGGAACATGTTTCTGATTTATTGAATTGCAGGCAACAAAACTTGCTGACTCTACTGTCTGCAGCTATGGAAAGGTGGTTCCGTGCTCTGCAAGGCGTTCCCAAGTAGCTCCAGTGTCCCATCACAGGCAAAGAGCTAACGATGTGTGCCTTTCAGGCAGAGGAGACTACCGGAACAGTAACAAGGAAATACAAAAGCACGTTTTAAAACGGGAACAAAAGAAGGAAAGCAGCTGTTGGGCTGAAGAATTTTAAACAGAGGCAGGACGTTAACCAGAATTTTAAGCAGAGGCAGAACTGCCATCTTTAGGCACACAAATAAGTGGCCTGATTTTCAAAAGTGCTGAGCCCTTCGTAGCTTCTCGTGATTTTTTTTTTAAAAAACCTCTTCTTTATTCTACGGAACTGTACATTGCTTTCAGGAGAATCGATTTAGCTCCTGCCCCGGGGAATTAACCCTCTTCTTAACACCACGGGAGGTTTGAAAGAAGGGCTGGCAAAACTCTCAGGCACAAAGCAATGGGAAAGAATAACCTCATTTCTATCCCGAAGGAAGGGAACTACCCCCCCTTGAATCATGGCATCGTTCAGCACCCACTACCCACCAATGCACATACCTGTTCCCAGTCACAATCCCAGAGGCAAGCGTCTGTTCCCTTTTCTCTTAGTAATCCCACTGGAAAGCACCTCTGGGAAGGCACCAGTCATAGTGGAAGCCACACTGCATGTTGCTAGCTGCTCTGTTGCCTGGACGTATAAATGTATCTGGGTGAGAGGACGATATTTGTGTGTGCCTCTTTTCCTTTGATGGAGAAAGGGATGACGTTTGCAGGGCTGGCTGCTGGCACCCACTTCTCTCCAAGCCCAGGAATACGTCACGTGGGAAATGGATCATGTGAGGTTTTTCCCCCCCTCCAGGATCAAACAACCTCGATTCCCCTCCCTCCCTTCCCTCCCCTTAAGCTAACAGGCAGCAGTAGCAGAACAGATGCTGCTTTTGTCTGAGCCCCCGCTCTGCAAAGCAGTGGGAATGCCCCTGCCCCGGCAAAGGTTTTTACTCCCCACCTCTGCTTTCCAAGATCACCAGGAGCTCGAGTCCGAGAAATCAGTAACCGGCTCTCCCCCCAGCCCTGCAGCCACGGACCCTGCCCTTAGCTCCGGGGAGGAAAAAACTAGCCCCAACCCCAGGCACCGGGCTCTGTCAGTACCTTGGACAGCAGCGCCGCGCCTGGCTCAGCGTTGGTGACTGGACTGTTTGCCTGCCTCTATTCAACTGTCAGGCGGGTGATTCTAGCTTGTCCTCAGCCTCCGTGTCTCTCTGGCCTCCGGCAAAGGGGCCTCTAGGTGCATATGCAACGCTGTTGCCTGGGGGTGCTTCTCTGCAGAAGCCGCTAACAAACCCGGCTCCCCCGGGATTGAGGAATCCAGGCCCCCGCCCCCTAGTTTGTGCTCCCGGATTTTCCTTGTGCAAGACGCTTGCCCTGCCCGCCCCCAGCACCGCCACTCCGAGGGCAGCGCAGGACGGAAACCTGCCCTTGTTCCTGCTGGGGCTCACTAGCAGCGCTGACGTGCCGGTTGCTATGGTACTTGTGGGATTGTGGAAGAGGATGGTTTTCTTCAGTGATGGTCACCATGGGATCCTGGCAATGGAAAGGGGAAAGACACAGAGGCTGAATGAGTGAGGGGAAGGTGGGGGGCGATGTTCAGTTAGGTTCCTCCGAGCACAGTTTCCCCAACTGATCCTTTTATTGCCCTATTGCTACTTACAGCCCCAGTAAAAGATGGGAGAAATCATGATGCAGCCCACAGCCTGGTCCCCCCACTGTATGACACCTTTCCTTCCGTAGGGGTAACTGCACCGACCCCTTTGCCTTCAACGCACTCCCTAGAAAGACAAAGGAATGGTGCCCCCCATCCTAAGTCTCCGCGTGGAGATGGCCACAAAGAGTTGCCATGAGCAGTTGTGCTGGCTATGTTAAGTGTGCTACCTGTAACTTCAAGGCATGAAAACATAGTTTTGGACCGGCTTGGAACTTGTCCTCCCTAGAGGAAAGTGCAGGGTGGGGATCTTTGTTACTTTTAGCGTTGGCTAATGGTCTGATTGTACTAGTGCACTGGGACAACCCTATGACCAATTATGCTAGAATACCTTTAAATAGCTACAAGTCAGTGACTGGCTCTGCCCATTCAGCCTCACTCCTTCATTTATTATTACTCATCCGTCTTTTTACTTGGTGTTTGTACAGAGCCTAGCACATTGGGATCCTGGTCCCTGACTGGAGCGCCTCAGCACTAAATAATCATCAATTGGCTCAGCTGTCATTTCCCATCGCTCTGCTAATACCACATAGCTGTAAATTCTGTTTGGAAGTTTCCTTCACCCAAGTTAGAGGTTCCTACAGCCTCTCCTCATGTGGTGTCATTCCTGTAGTCCCAGCAGAAGGGCACATGTACCACTTTAGTCCCACTTAAAATATCAAAAATAGGATTTAAGTGGTGTGTTGGCCCAATGCTGAATTTCACTCATGAATAATCCCAATTACTTCTTTTGAATAAAGACTAACAGCATCAGTTAGGGTCCCAGGATTCAGTCTCTCGGGGCTATTTCTCACTCCCAATAGACTAATTGTTTTGACTAGTCATCATCTCCTTGGACCTGACCAATCCATCTAGCCTGCATCTTCAAATTGCCTGTATTAATGAACACAATTGTTTGTGATTTAAATTGTGAGTGATTTGTAGAAATAATATAATTTGTTGGAGTCTGTGGCTATTTCCTTTTTTCCACCATCCTCTTTAGATAATTGGCTAATGGAATATTTTCAAGAATAAATGCCTTATAACCAATGTGGGTAGAGCAGCCACAAAACAGTGGATTAGGGTACATGTTTGAAATTTTGTAATGTCTACAGGCAAATAGAGCAGGGGTGTGCATGCCGCCCAATATGCCTTGTTGATGGTTCTACAAGTTATGCCCTTTTCACTCTCTACTTTAAGCAGACTACCATGGTAAATATAAAGAAAAAGACACAAAAAACCTTTATATTTTCCTTATTCCTTTGACTTGTTACTTTATTTCATTTTGGTGTATTTTCTATTTAGTGTTGGGACTGTAAGGTGGGGAACTGAGTCACAAGTCCATCTAATTTAGGCTTAACTAATTTTTGCCTTTATTAACATTTCAGACAGAACTATTGTCACATATGGTGTCCAAAAACCCATTTATGTCAGACAATAAACAGATAAGACTGAATAGTTAGGGGTCCCAAATTACTGCATACTGGGGAACCAGGAAGTTCTCCTGTACTTCATGATGGTCATTGCCACCTCTGGTCTTGTCCTTCAATCCCACTCCTTCAGTTTCTTGTCCAATGTTTCTCTGATTGAGCCTTGTTCACTTGAGTCTTTTTATACATTTCCTCTGTACACATTTCTTAACCTTTCTCCAATCAGCTTTAAACACATTAAGTATTTTCTCGTGTAAACCCATACACCACACATACGGAAGCTTCCATGTTTTTTGCTGTTTAGACACTTTCTATGCCATTCTGTTCCATGTCATAGAACCTGCTCCTGGGTTTTCCCAGTAAAAAGGAGACATTTTTTTTGTCGTTACAAGATTGTGTACCTTTTACCTAAAATCTTCCAGCATAACATGTTAGTTTGTCCTCTCATCAATGACATCATTTTTAAGCCGATCAGCAGGTCTACATAAGAGAAGAATTGACAAAACCACACTTAGGTCAGCAAGGCCCTGGCCTCAGTATTACCTCATCTAAACTCATTTGCTAGCCATAATTATAAATTATTAAAATGTAACTAACAAAGCTCTTAACCTTACCATTTAGCAATTCTGCATTTGTATATTTCAATAATATAGGTCAGTATATGTATATCATCCTTCCCCTTAATCTACTTGGAGGGCTAGGAAGTGTCACAGCCTCAAAACGTCAATACTTTCTTTATCTCCTTTAAACATAGCTTTTCAGTAACTTTTTCACTCAAAGTGCACCCTTATGTTTGTGAATCATTACAAAAAAAATCTTCATTACTAACTTTCCCAGTGTTGCATTTTGAGGGGTGGCTATTTCAGGGCCCTAATAATCAATTGTTCCCCAACATTAGATTGTAAACTCTTTGGGGGCAGCTCTTAACATTATATGTGTGTGATGTGTAGCTCCAAGCACTACCACAATAAATAAAAAATAAATAAATACATACATACATACATACATACGTACATAGTAATTTTCTTATACTGCCCTCATTTCTGATACCGTATCTTATACTTTAACTAATCACTTAAGGATCAGTTCATCCCGTTGTAGTCCTGTCTAGCTTCATTGATTTCAATGGCGTTGGAGCAGTTTCAAACTGGGATAGGGCCAGGGTAAATCAAGCCCTGAATATTTTCATTCTCCCTATTTTTTTTGTGAAGCAACCCAGATATAACTTAATTATTTAAATGACATATTTTGGAAAAAGTGCATTTGCTTTTTGTCACTAATAGAATGAAAGCCTTTTTTATTACTATAAATCATTTTCTCTCTTCTGTTACTCTACATGGAATGTGGCTTCTGAATATAATGTAGTAGCTTGGAGAATCAACTGAGAAGTGTTTTCTTTTGGTTTTACTAAATAAGTGGGACTTTAATATAAAATAATTTTAATTGTTGACATTTTTAAATTAAAAAGCCCCCAAACTGCTGCATTGTCTATTGTTTAATTATCTACATGTGACTTGTAATTGTTTTTTAAGTTGAACAGAAATATAATCATTAAATGTAATGACATCCCTGGGGTATGTCCACAACACAAAATTCCCACACAGCGTAACTCAGTTTGTTGCAATTAGTTTTTTCCCCAAGAGAATTCCACAGCTAGAACTCCTTGCAAGCTGAGAGCACTTCTCATTAGCTTGTCTGTGCATGCAAGCTAGTACACACTATACATGGCTTTACCAAGTGCTGCTAGTTCTTCTGTTGGTCACTACACATTCCTAATGATATCCTTTGCACTTTTTGTGTGATGATTGCAAAGCACTTTACAGCCAGTAATTCTCATGGTACCCTGCCAAGGTGTTTGTGTTATTGGTGTGTCTTTTCCTCTTTACATAATAATAATAATAATATGTAGAAACCACACAGGAATGGTAGCATCCCAAATAACTAACATCTTCTTTACCATTTCCCTATTCAGGGTCAGCGGCTGTCACAGTCTTCTTCCAAAACTCATGATTGTATGACTGGTTGTCATGCAAATTGGTCTCTCTACAGTCTGCTGGTATCAAGTTTATGTGCCAAGTCTTTGGCCTCCCCCTTGGTCATCTTCCATCCACAATTGTTGCAAGAGCCTTCTTACCAATATAACTCTTGGGTCTCTGCTGGAGATGTCCATACCAACATGGCCTAGCCTCCCCCAACTTGTCTTCAATTGGGGTGACCTGCACTAGACCCCCCATAACCTCATTTTGTTTCTTATCACTAGCTAACTAGTAAATAACTATTTACTAAATATACACAAGCATGCTAGGCCAAACTGCATACAGACTGATGCTCAGACTGCGTTCCGGCATCTTCTATTACTCAGAACGCAGTGAGAATCCTAGAGGGTTAACAAATATTGAAATGGGTACTATTCTATTCCTACACAGTTAATATCCATATTATTCACTCAGATGAGACAAAGAGATGAAGGGATCCAATTCTGCTCCAATTGAAGTCAGTGGCAAAACTTCCATTGACTTCAAAGGTGCAAGATCAGCTGCCAAAGTGGGCAGTGACTTCAGTGGAGATACATGCTGTAAATCTGGAGTATCACATCAATAGCAATGCAGCTGACCAATCATGGATAGGATACAAAGGCAG